ACTTAATATGGACCAAGTACTCAATGAGGTGAGTGCTTCCCTTCTGCTCTCCCTTCAGCTATTGGAGAGTCCCAGTGCCATTCCTCACCTTTTACTCTATATGTTCTTTCATTAGTTCATTTCATCCATTCCCATGGTTTTAAATTCTAGCTATATGCTGATGCCTTTTAACATTATAACTCAAGACCTGACTCCTCTCTTGGGCTCCAAATTCATTCATCCCATAACTTAAAGGGACATCCTCATTTGGATATGTAATAGGCATTTCAAAACTAGCACGTCTAAAACACTGATTCTACCACCCGCCCCTGCCAACCTGTCTTTCCTCCAGGACTTCTCATAGAGCTTCAATATATATCCATTATTTGATCCCAAAACTTAGAAATTATTCTCAATTTCTCTTTTTTCCATCCCCCTCTGATCTATCCATCTCCCACATATCCGACTTCACTCTAGGGATGTGCCCTGAGCCGTGTAAACCAATCACAGTAGTCCTATACTCCTTGCTAATGACCAGGACCCTATGCCAAAATCAGTCTGCATAAAAGGGGTCAGAGTTTAGGAATGTCATGTGTCTGAATTCAAGTCAATGGTACAATGAGGTAAAGATTTTTGGGAACATTTATTTTTTGAGGATGTCAGTGAAGAAACATGTAGCCCACATTACCACTATCCACTCTATGCGCATACTCAAAAAGAATCTGCCTTAGGATGAAGCTGATTTTCTGGATGGCAGAAGGAAGAGGAGAAAAGAACATGACTCATAGATGACACGACTGATTACCTGCAGCAAGGGTCCCTGACCCCTGGGCCATAGACTAATACCTCTCCATGGACTGTCAGGAACCAGGCCACACAGCAGGAGGTGAGTGGTGGGCGAGTGAGTGAAGCTTCATCTGTATTTATAGCCACTCCCATTACTACCTCAGCTCCACCTCCTGTCAGATTAGCGGTGGCATTAGATTCTCATAAAAGCGCAAACCCTATTGTGAACTGCGCATGCAAAGGATCCAGGTAGCATGCTCCTTATGAGAATCTAATGCCTGATGATCTGTCACTGTTTCCCAACATCCTCAGATGGGACTGTCTAGTTGCAAGAAAACAAGCTCAGAGCTCCCACTGATTCCACATTATGGTGAGTTGTATCATTATTTCATTACATATTGCAGTGTAATAACAGAAACAATTGCACAATAAATGTAATGAGCTTGGATCATTCCAAACCGTTCCCCTTGCCCTCATCCCACCCTATCCCACCCACCAATCTATGGAAAAATTGTCTTCCATAAAACCAGTTCCTTGTGCCAAAAATGTTGGGGACTGCTGACCTAGAGCACACAATTCTGAAACTCACTCTACATCTGGATGTCCAATTCTGTGAGACAATAAATTTCCTTATTGTTTAAGCCAGAAATTTTGGATTTTCTGTTTTTGCAGTTGAAAGCTATTTAATAAATCCAAAGAAGGGGAAGCCAGCAAAGGGAACCGAGAAGCAACAATCAGTAAGGCAGGAAGCAAACCATATGCTGTCTTAGAAACAAGAGAACGAAGCGCTTCTTGGTATAGAGAAAAATCAACTACATCCAATAATGAGAGGTTGAGTAAACGAAGGACAAGAGGTGACCACGTATTGGCAACATGGTAACCTGGAAAACTGCAGTTTCAGAGGAGTGGTGGAGACAGAACCTTCTCTGGAGTAAGTTAAGGAAATTGGCCACAGGGAAATGAAATCATTTAATTTTGACTTCTGAGAAGTTTTGCTATGAAGGGTAGCAGAGAAATGAACAGTAACTAAAGGAGAACAAGGGGCAAAGCAGGACTTTTTAAAGACCAAAGATCTTTTAGCAATAGAAATGATTTATCAAGGGATAGATAATGCAAGAGAGGGAAAAATAATTGCAGGAACAAAGACCAAATTTTCTTTTGAAAAGCCACAGGGAGATAGGATTCGCTGGATAGGCAGAAGGTCTTGCCTTTAGAGAAGCAGGGATTTCGTTTGCTGCAATAGGAGGAAAGGGCAGGGAACAAGCATAGATGCAAGTCATATGATTAACATGGTACAGTTAGGGAGTTCCCACCCGCTTGTTTCTATTTCTGCCAAGAAGTGGTAAGATGACTAGCTGAGATGTTGGAGGAGTTTTTTAATGTGTTTTTAATAAACAGGGTATCGCTGTTGCCCAGGCTGGAGTACAGTGAGGCTCACTGTAACCTTGAATTCCTTGGTTTACGCAATCCTCCCAGCTTGGCCTCCCAAAGCACTGGGATTACAGGCTTGAGCCACCAAGCCTGGCCTACTGAAGAAGGGGTTTTGAAGGGAGGAGCAAAGGTACCAAACAGCAATTTCAGAGAGTTGGAAAGTAAACAAATAAGGAGAGTTTTAGAAGGTTGAAAGGATTGCTCAGTATTCTTGAGTGCCCATTTTAGTCCTGTGGTCATGAACTTAAGAATAGACATGATTTTTCTGCAGCTATTTCCAACTGTTCAGAGAGAGACATGTACAGAGTTGAGAGTTTTCAGAAGTTACATGAAGGAGGTAGAATAACAAGGAAATTAAGTAAGTGATTATGGTGTTAGATCATGCAACCTAGGCTGAGTAAGGAAAGACGAGAGGATCTGAGGGTAGGTGACAGCTAGTGAAGATGCTGGTATCCCAGCAAAGGCTAGTGGTCCACCAAAACCCATTATCTCTTCTTCTGAATGCAAGACTACCCAGCACACAGCTGGCCAGGCACACTACATTTCCCAAGCTCCCTTGCTTGTTATGTGGCCATATGGTGAGGACCTCTCCAGTGGAACATGAGGAGTAGTGATGTGGGCTCCTAATGGAGAGTCTTCTCCATACTCACCCTCTCCCTGTCTCAATCCGGGACAATGCCACAGTGAATGGCAAAGAAACGAGATGAAAGATATTTGGGTCCTTCAGGCTGTGTGTGGCAGAACCACTCACTGACTTTTAACATTTGCCTGCACTGTGACCTGAGAGAGAGAGAAAAAAAAACTCCTGTCTTGACTAATCACTGCATTATAGGGTCTTTTAGCTATAGCAGTTTAACCTTACCCTAACTTGGGTCAGGGACTGGAGGCTTCAGTGAGGTCTAAGATCCTCTGTAGTAGAGGCAGTAAAGTGAGTGAGGTGAAAGGCTAAAAGGGAGTGGTCAGAGAGGAGTGTATGGGTTATGAAATGGAAACTTCAGAGGTGAGCAGTTAGAGGTGATAAAAAAAAAAAAATCTAAGATAGGACCAATGGAATGTGTGGCTAAGGTGGAGGAAAGTGCAAATTAAGTTTCAGAAAAGATAGGAGACTGACCCAGGATCACACAGGAATGAGCAGAAGGGCCAGGATTCCCACTGAGACCCAAGTGACTTCACACTCCATGCTCTTCCCACTCTGCCAGTTCCTCAGGTACAATCAAACCACCTGGTTCAAAGAAAAGGCTGCAGGTAAAGTGTTTCTATGAAGAAAGGTTAGTTCGGCCCCACGAACAGGTAATACAACTTCTCCTGGAGTAATGGGTAGTACACTACAAGAACACAATTACAGCCTGTACCTGACTTAACAATGGCTCAACTCAGGACTTTTTTACTTTACAAGAGTGCAAACGCAATACACATTCAGAAAAGTCCTTAAGATGGAGTTATGCCCAGATGAACCCATTATCAGATATCTTCAACTTACAATGGTTTCTCTGGACGTAACTCCTTAAGAAGTGGAGGAGCATCTGTATTGTTAATACTTAAGTAGACTCATCATGCTTTGGGACCCTGTGTTTTTCGTGATCTACTCCTATTTCATCCATCCAGAGGCCCAGTGGCGGCATTCACGTCCTCCCCTTCTCCTTTGGACGACCGCCATTGATTCACCTGGTCTATGAATCACCATTGACTCCTCTAGTCTCTATTCCCTCCAAGCCATCTCTAAATTGCTTCAAGTTACCTTGTGAAATTCGTACTATGCCTTCCACCACATAAAACCCTAGCAACTTGCACAAGACCTCTCTTCACGATATCCCCTCAGTCTACCTGTTCAGTCACATTTTCCCTGTCTCCCTCACCCAGTGTGTGCTGCAGCTGTATTCACCTATTTACCATTTTCATACTCCCGTACCTTTGCATATGCTGGGCCTCTCCTTGAAATGTCCTCAACCCTTGGTCATACAAGACACTCCCATTTATCCACCTCCAGCGCTCTTCCCCAGTATACTTGTCCTTCTCTGCCCTTCCTTCATCTCCCTCCACTGTCCCTAGAGAGACACAATTAAAGCTATTATTGTACTGTATTATAATAATCTCTATTTGTCTCCTCATCCTTTCTTGGCATCCTGACACAGTTTCTACTTGACTCATAGTAGGTGCTCACATCCTACACTGAATGCTGAATGAGACTGCATTTGGCTGCTCCATTTTGATCACACTGAAATTAGATGAACTGTTTTTGGTGGGACTCAGCATTTTATACCACATTTGTTATTTTCCCAAAGAAAGTCAGTCTGGATGGCAGAGGAAATACAAGGTCCAGCTGTTTGCATCCATGCCTCCTTTCATAGTCTGCTCTGGAACCCAACATTTCAAAGCTACCTTCAAAATAAGATGTTACTAAACAAGCCTACTACACTACTGGCATTATGCAGATAAAACATAAACAGGCTGGCAAGAGCTGAGAAAGTGACAGAGGATGTGGCTGGGGCCAGCAGGTGTTTACGGGGTGGCTATGATGGCTCAGCCATCCAAGAACAGACAGTCTGGTCTCTGTAGGGACACCTGCGGCTTGCCAGCTCCACTATCCAAATTGTAGTACGTGCTACACAGTATTTGTTTCTGCTGTGGCCACGGAGAGCTGCTCACTCTTCCACCTGCATGACACAGATGGTACAGATGGGAGCATGCTTCCACACGAGGATGTGCAATTACACGCAGTTCCTCCAGCTGTGACAATTACCAAGAGAAAACCCGAGGGAAGGAAACAATCCTGGCAGACAACTGTCTTCCCTGCTGGCACTTACCACTTAGTTCTCCCAGGAACAGCTGCTGCATCCATGGCCTCTCATCTCTTTCACGGTCCTTCCTGGAACCCAAGTACTTGAAGAGCTTTGGGTATGACAGGAACATAAAGCAGTCATTGAACCACATATATTTAAGTATGAAAATACCATGGCTTTATTTTTCTCTTATAAAGATAGCCGTGCTTATTGGCTAAATGGGAAGGATGTACATAGTTCTCATCAGTAAACATGATTTAACTCTTTTCAGATGCAAACCATAATGCCAAAGAAGTGACATGAAGGGGGTAAACGCGTAATGCTTTCATCTTCACAGCAATAAAATGCAAAGTAAAGCAAACATGAAATGGACTTAATTAATGCTGGGCATTCCCACAGGGAAGAGGCAAGAGGATATTCTATCAATCAATAAAAGTATTGTATACAATTTAAAAATTCCATTAGGTTGAGCCACCCTCACGCCTCTCTCTGGCTCTCTCCCATCTGAGGTATACCAGGCTGGAACTAACAAAGCTAGTAGTCAGGAGCTTTTGCTTTGGAGTCCACTGAGATAAGAGGGTGACAAAGTCTTGGAAGACCAGAAAACCTGGCTCTGGTGAGGCACCTACGTGCAGCAGTGTCGCATATGGAAGTTGACAACATACTCAGCATTAGTCCTCTGCACAGAAATAGCAAAAGGCTCAAAAGGGTGAAAGGTGAAGGCAACAAGGCGTCGCACTGTGTGGTTGATGGGGCGGCCCAATAACCCTGCCTGGATCTCAAATTTGAGCAGGCCGGAGTCCCGGGCATAGAACCTAAAAAGAACAAGGACAGAGACAGAGAAAGAAGGGACAGTATTGATATTCAACATCAAACTGAAATGTAGACAGCAGGGGAATATGGCAACTCATTATTCTACCTTATTAATGAAATCTCCTCTTATATCAGCCCCAGGTTATCAGAACTATAAAATCACCTAGGTATGGTCAGCTCATTTAGTGAGGAGTAATTATAAATCTAACTATGTTGTACTGAGTCACTGGTCATTTCTCTTTCCTGAGATGACTCAGGTTTAGCCTTAATTACAGCCTTTCCACTTCCAGATGCTCCTTCCTCAAGATTGTCTAGGCCAGGGCTAGAAATGAAATGTAAGCCACATGTGTAATTTAAAATTTTCATGTAGCCATACTAAGAAAAGTAAAAATAAAAAGAGGAAATTAATTTTAATAATACATTTTATTTACTCCAATATATCTAAAATATAATTTCAATCTATAATCAATATCAAAATATTAGTGAGATATTTCTCTTTATTTTGGAAATCTAGTGTGTATTTGACACTTAAGCACACCTGAACTCGAACTGGCCACATCTTAAGTCCTCAGTAGTCACATGTGGCTAATGGCTACCATATTAGACAGTGTGGATCTAGGCTCATCTTTTACGTTTTTCATTTTTAAGAATAAATTCTTTTAAAAGGTTCTTTTTCATGCATAGCAACAAAATACTAAATAGTGTTTAATTTTTCTTCTAATACGCGAGACTAAAGATGCTTCCATCCATCCCGGTACTTAAATGTCTTTACCATATGCAAAATGCCCTGTGGTTTGGGGAACTACAGATGTTGAGTGAGTGGAGGCTGAACGGCAGAGGCAGGTGGGGGTGGCGAGGCAGGTGGGGATGGAGCGGTAGGAAGGATTCTAGAAAATAAAAAGCCTTGAATTAAAGAGACCTATAATCTCCTTTTGGAAATCCAATATATAAGCAGACCTAAAGATATCTATACCTTTTGACTCCACAATCCCACATCCAAGAATTTGTATCTTCAGAATTTTGATTTAAATGAAATAACTAGTACATGAATAAAGAGGACTGCTATGGCATTTGTTTTAATGTAAAAATGCAGAAAGAGAATAAATCCTCAGTAATGGGGGAATGGTTAAATAAATCATGGTACATCTACTTGACAGAATAATACACCATCATCAAGACTCTAATTGTAAGGACTGTGCATAATTACAACATAAAATAATGTTTATAAAATAAAGACAGACTACAAAAAATGATGTTAACTGTGATTACAACTGTGTAAATTTTGTAATCACGGTTAACATTATTTAAATATAAATATAAATATGCATATTGACAAAGACTAGACTGGATTATACAATAAAGATATTGGAGTAACGGTATTCTCTCTTCAAATGCCCTTAATAGCCTTACATTTCTCATTTTAAATTAAAAATATAAAGAAGAATTATAAGAGAAACCTCTTTATTCAGGCACAATGGCATTTCCAGATTTTAGATTACTCTTCTCCAATTAGAAAGTTAGGAAAGTCAGAAAGGACAGAGAAATGTATCTCATGGTACTTGACTTACATCAGATGAGGCCCATCTTTTTAATGTGTAAAAAGCACATGGCCTTACTCCCACAATCCCCAAACACGAAGGGACTGTAATTTAAAGTGAGTTGTTTGAGCTTCTAAATCTCACTCCCAGTTTACAGGACATATGGGTAAATAAGAAATATAGTAAATACTACCCCAGGGATGCAATGAGCAAAATCTAGAATTTGGAGGATGCTAGAGGGCAAACAACCTGGTTTCTTCAACAATTTCATTGCAAAGAAAATAACAGAGGGAAGAAGAACCTATAAAACAAAAATGACTGGGCCAAGAGGGGTGGCTCATGCCTGTAATTCCACCACTTTGGGAGGCTGGGCAGGTGGATCACCTGAGGTCAAGAGTTCGAGACCAGCCTAGCCAACATGGTGAAACCCCGTCTCTACAAAATTACAAAAATTAGCTGGTGTGTGGCAGGCAACTGTAATCCCAACTATTCGGGAGGCTGAGGCAGGAGAATTGCTTGATCCCGGGAGCGGGGACTGCAGCGGGCCGAGACCGCACCACTGCACTCCAGCCTAGGCAACAGAGTGCGACTCTGTCTCAAAACAACAACAACAAAAAAATAACTGAAGGGAACAACGACCAAATGCCATGCATGAACCTTGTTTGGATCTGACGCAAACAAATAAACTATAAAAAGAATATTTACAAGACAACAGGGATATATAAAAACTGACTATATATTTGAAGATACTAAAAATTTTTTGTTAATTTTTTTAAGATGGGATAATGGTGTTACTTGTTTTACTAGGATAACTTGGATTTCCTTTAAAATAACCCAGGACAGGGGTTGGAAGGGGAGTGAGTAGTGGTGCTGATGGAAATAGGTGAGAAGAGAGTGCCAATGCGCTGATAATTGTTGAAGTGGGTGATGGGTACATGAAGGTTTATTACCCACTTCTACTTTTTGTATATGTTAAAAACTTTCCATAATAAAAAAAATTAACTAGTTTTTGGAACTTGACTAACTTCCCAAAAAAAAGTATTATAAATGATGATTAATTATACAGAATATGCCACGCAGCCCCATTTAATACACAATGAGGCTGGACGATGAAATATATCTATGATGAAGCTCTAACTACCACTGTTTCTATGTCAAAAAGACCTTCCAAGCTTCAGCTCAGAGCTCCAGGAACACACCCACCTTGAGGTAACTCCACTAGTGACAGTAATTCCAGCTCCTCCCCCTAGTACTATTACAGCACACAGTTCCATACACAGAGAGACAGATGGGTCTGTGAGGAAGGAATTTCTTGTAAGAGGTCAGTTTCAAAGTTCCAACAACACAGTAGTCTACACTCCAAAATTCCTCCAAGAGAGGAAGCATGAGTTTCTCCTAAACCTGCCAGCAGTTCCCCAAATTGTCTCTGCTATTTTTTCTATTAGGCAATATGGTAGGATAAAATAATGTGTGTTAGATGCATAATTATAAAGTCTCAATGACCAAAAACTATTATGGAATGGTATTAGATTATTAAATGGGAAAGCACAGCCTCCTCCCCTGGAAACCATTAAAAGAGGACAACATTTACCTGAATTAGATGTTCTGATGAGAAGCAAGGAGTAGGAATAATTTATGAGACTAGTACCTAAATGATCGAAGCACCCACTGCCTTATAGAAATAGCCTGGCTTCTCAGTCCCACCCATGAGTACACGTGGAGACAGTCACAATGAAATGATGTCCAGAAGAAAAGAAGAAAGCAGCCCGTCTGTAGCCCTTGAGCAGTTTGTAGCTATAGCAGAGACACTGTACCTGATTGGGTGATCTCCGCAAGTCTTGGGCCGCTCCATGACAGATACCCACTTATCATCATAACTGAAGAGAGACAAATCCAGATAGGGGCTACCACTGTAAGACTGAGCACTGATGGGGAGCTGACCCAGCAGCCGGCGGACCGCCTCTGTGTGCCCTCCGTACTTGGCATTTATAATAGTGTCTTTGAACCTAAATGAAAGAGCCAGTGAGGAAGGCTTTGTTAGTGGGTACACAAAGCTGTCTTGGATTTTAAATTGACAAATACATGTCTAAGAACAATTCATTCTTTACATACACATTAAAACCTAGGTAATGAATTGAGACAGAACTCTCTCTCACACACTACAAGTCTGGCCAGCTACAAATACTTTTAAAAACCAAAACATATAACTAAAAATGGAAAACAACAAATTACTTTAGAAACATGTTTGGGCTTTGCGGGGGATGTTTTTGAGACAGGGTCTTGGTTTGTTGCCTAGGCTGGAGTACAGTGGCATGATCTCAGATCACTGCAGCCTCGACCTCCCGGGCTCAAGCGTTCCTCATACCTCAGCCCCTGGAGTAGATGGGACTACAGGCACATGCCACCACGCCCAGCTAATTTTTGTATTTTTTATAGAGGTGAGATTTCACCATGTTGCTTGGGCTGGTCTTGAACTCCTGAGTTCAACTGATCTGTCTGCCTTGGCCTCCCAAAATGGTAGGATTACAGACATGAGCTACCAAACCTGCCCCCACTTTAGAAAAGTCAACAAAGACTCTACAAACAAGTTTAAAATGAGTATAACTAGTTTATGACAACTATTTCTACTGTTCTGTAATAACAGCTCAACTGGGGAAAAAGGTCAAGAACTTACTTTCCCCAAATAAGTGCATTAGACTGAATGAGGGAGGAGTTATAGAGAACAGAGAGCCCTGAACAGATCAGCCTCTCTCTGACTCTTCTTGGGATCACCAACTTCCAGCAAGCCTTTTCACAAATAAATTACCCATTTTGTTTGTTTAGATAAAATTCAGAAACTAGCTACCTATACTCCTGCAGAAACACCAGTATCTAGAAGATCAGTAACAGGCCGAGTCATGTATCTCACTTATCTTTGAAAATAATGACAGAACACTTATTTCTCGTAACTGTAACAAATACTAAATTTGATTTTATTTTTTTCAGACAGGGTCTTGCTGTGTTGCCTAGGCTGGAGGGCAGTGGCACAATCTCAGCTTAATGAAAACTCTGCCTCCCCTGGGCTCACGTGATCCTTCCACCTCAGCTAGGTACATGCCACCACATCCAGCTAAATTTTTTTTTTTTTTAATTTTTTTGTAGAGACAGGGTCTTGCCATGTTGCCCAGACTGGTCTTCAACTCCTGGCCTCAAGCAATCCACCCACCTCAGCCCTCCAAAGTGCTGGGATTACAGGCGTGTGCCACCGTGCCCAGCCACAAAGCTAAATTTAATACTCTTTGACAAGTACCTCTATTCTTCAGGAAACTTACCCTAAGGACTCACTTCTACATGCAGAAAAATCTGTGTACATTCATACAGTACTGTTTATAAAGGAAGAAAAAACCAAAAAGCTAATGGAAAACTACCATTTTCAAAGATCATACAGCAACAGGTGAATCGTTTAGCATGTAAGTAAAACAAGGATACGATACTGTCTACATAATACAGCTAAAAACACAAAGAAAACAGAAACACTTAAAGCAAAGACTGGCAGAAATACACTAAAATGTTAATAGTTGTAGAATGACATTTTGAATTTTTTTATTTTTCACTTTCCTACAGCTTCTCAGAAAGAATGTCAATTGTCTATCAGTATATATTTTTTAAACCTCTATATTCAAACTTATCATACGGTTCAACAATCAAGGGGATATAATTTTTTTTAGTCTGGGGGAAAAGTATAATGTCTCATCCCTGAAACAAATGGAATAAAAAACTTCAATGTTCTCGGCTTTCATGAGACCAGAGAGATTAATTAGTTGAGGGTGATTTTTATTTTCACTATTAACCTATGGTATTAGATGGACGTGAATACTTTTCTGCTCCCCTCAAAGAAAGTCCAGCAAGCAACACTGCTTTTCCATTACTCCTCCTGACAGTAATTTTCACAGCCTCAGTACAAAACATAAAAATAAACCTTGGGCCGAATAGAGCTTATTTTTTCCCTTTCATTTGAGCTGAAATAAAAAATCCTGGGCACTCTGGTTTTCAGCAACGATCCAGCACCACCTCATAACCTAGACTCTAGCCTTGCCTGACTCACTGACTCCCTGGCTTTCAAAGGTAAAATGATGGGGGCTAACTCCCAGCTTTGTGATGACCACAAATCAAAGCATCTGTGACAATCTACAGTTTGAAGCAGTTCCTCTTTCTCTGCAGCACCTACCACCTCCACCCTCCACGCTCCCCACTGATTAAAAGCAGTCACTCCCTATGATGTCTTCACACTTTAGCTCCTGCCTCAGTGTCACTGTTGTCCAACTACACCTCTCCTAATGCTCGGAAATTTCAAAATCCTTAGAGATGTTCTTTACAGCATCACAGCCTCCTACTAGTTCCCTAACCTCCTGTCAACCTCAGCTGCTTATTTCACAGGCACACCCTCCACCTTATCATTACCAACAACTACAACGCCTCTCTAGTCACAGGGTAGACCATCACGCTCTCCAACCACCTTCTCTCCATCTTTCCTGCTCACTCCCTCTATTCATCCCAACTTTGGCAATCCTTCAACCCCCACAGGACCTATAATCCACTGATTTTACCAATTTCTTGACATCTGACACTCTCATCATGTCCTCTCTTCCTTCCTTCCACGTAAGATGAAATCACTAAATCACTCATTGCATGCATCCTCAACAATCTTGAATTCTCTTGTTTTGTGGTACTTGCTTGGAAAAACTATAACCTCCAGTTAGGCTTACCTCTACCTATTCCAGGCCTGTACCATTCGTTTTTTTCCACAGCTGTAGAAAATCATACAATGCTCACTTTAAACCTATGGCCATGACGTTTATGTGGGCCCTTAATGCTGCAGGGCACTCACTGCTACATTTCCGTAGTCTTTCCAGACTCCCGTTCTCTTACATGACTATTTCATCTCCCCTCCTCCATGCTCACTCAGCTAATGGCATTGCTTACTTTGCTACTGACAAACAGAAGTTAGCAGAAGATGACGTTTTTAAAGCTCCCATCAGCACATCTACCCCACATTTGGACGTATGTAATTTTCTGTGCTCCCATGCAAGACAAATCCCTCTGCCTGTGCGCTGGCGCCCAACTCCTCCCATACACTTAAGCAGCTCTTCCACTTTCCTCAGCTGTTTCCCCTCGTCTACAGGATCAATCCCATCTGTACACAAACACGCCATTTTTTTCCTCCCATTTAAAAAAATAACAAAAACAAAATCTAACACTACCTACTCCTCTAGCTAAAGCACACTTTTCAGCTCCCATTTGTAATAAAACGCCTCAAAACACCTTTCCATACTGTCCAACTTTTCCCCTCCCATTCTTTCTTAAACCCACCCTAAAGAGGCTTTCGCCCACCATCTCACCCAAACTACTCCTGTCAAGGTCACTCATGATCTCCATGTTGCTAGCTCCAATAGATAATTTTCAGTCCCTATTGTACTCGTCAAGCGGCTGTGACACAGCTAACACTCCTTTGAGAAACTATGAGAGATCTGCACTTCCAGAACTTCTGATCTTCTCCCTTAACCCTGCTCCACCCACAGGTTCACCGTTTAATGGCAACTCTCTCTTGCAAGCTGTTCAATCCAACAGTGTTAGAATTATCTTTGACTTTGTTCTTTCATAGCCCATAGACCATCCTCCATTAAGCTATTGGGCTCTACCTTCAAAATACATTGAGAATATAATTGTTTACTATTCCCAATGCTACCACCCTGATCCAAGCCACCACTGTTACACAACAAATACTCACAGAGGACCTGGTACGTGCGAGGCTCTCTTCTAAGTGCTCAGGATACATCAGTGGACAGTAAAGAACTTAAATCCTAGTGGCAGGAAACAGAATGCCATCACTGGACCACTGCAACAGTCTCTTAACTGATATCCCTGTTGCCACCCTTCCTGCCTACATTCTACTCTTAACAGAACAGCTAGAGTGACCCTGTTAAAACGTAAGTGAGACTATGTCACTTCTCTGCTGAAACATGGCACAATCTACCTCATCTAGTTAAAGCCAAAGCCACAGAATGGCCCTATGTATGTGCCTATGTTCTCTGCCAATTTCCAACTGCTCTGCCCCTTGCTCACCCCAGTCCAGCCACCCTGGCCTTCTTGGTGTCCTTCAAATGCATCAGATCCAACTCAGGGCCTTTAGATAGGCTATTCCTTTTGCTGGGTATATTCTTCCTCCTGCTACCCACATGGCTTGCTCCCTGACTTCCTTCAAAAGCTTTGCTCACCTGTCACCTTCTCAGTGAAGGCTGACAACTCTGCTAGGAAAGAACTGACAATCTCTTCTTCATATACTCGTACCTACCAGTATTCTAACCATTTTATTTTTCCCTTGGACACACTCCTCTTAGACTCCTCCACTCTCCTGCTTCCATCTGGTCTGACTAGTGGACAGTCATTCAGCAAATTCCCTTTACCATCATCCTCTCTTTGCCTCTCTCCAGTGTCAGACTATTTTCTACGTACCATTCTTTTGTGGTTTATTGAAGTACATCTCCATAGGCTTCCTTAGAAAAGGTACATGAGAGGTAATCTTTCCAGACTTTACAAGTTTGAAAATGTCTCCATTCCACCCTATTACATGGATATAGAATTCTAAATTGCAAACCACCCTTTTCATAGAATTCTGAGGGCATGATTTTAATGACTTCAAGCTTTCAGTATTATTGATAAGTCTAATGCAATTATGATGACTTATTGTTTTTACATGTGAAATGTATGTTCTTTCTCAAAGTTTTTACAATGTTCTCTTTATCCCCAGTGTTCCAAAATTTTCCAATGATATGTCTCTCGGTGCGGGTCTGTTTCACTGACTGTACTGGGTACTAGATGAATCCATTGGTGTACAGGTAAAGGTTTAATTTTTCTCTGGGGAAAAAAGCCATGGTTTGTAGTGCTTGCCGATTTCTGTGGAGTAAATCTTCCTCCTATGATCAAGGTACCAATGTGACATTACTGAATGTGCAGTTGTCAAAAAATGAGCAGTAGCACATTATTATATAGTATTTACGCCATGTAGATAAAATAGATGCAAATAACCACAAGAGCCTAAGTAACAGTAAAATAAGAAATAAATCAGAAATAATATTTAATAACAACTTCATTTAACAATCAGCTTACAAAAATTCCTGAAAGTTTAACAGTCTGGTCTCATGAGCCAGTACAAGCCAGCTCCAGCAATGGATGTCCTGCCAATCTAAAAATGTACGTTCTTCAGTTCTGTGAAGCTATCTCATTATTTGTCCACTTTGTATTCTCTACTGCTCCTTCAGGAATTAGCCAGATATTTGACCTCCAAGGCATATACTCTATTTTTTTTTTATTTTTCTCTTTTATGTCCCATCTCTTATGTATTTACTTTACTTTGTTGGAGGTTCCTCCACTATATCTAACAAATTTTAAATTTTCAAAAATTTCTCATTGTTCTAGGAATGTTCCTGTTTTTTGAGCTTCAATTGTTTTGGTGAGTGTAACACTGTCTTTTTTGTGGTTTTTTTTTTTTTGAGATAGGGGCTCACTTTGTCACCCACATTGGAGTGCTGGAGTGCAGCAGCTTGATCTCAGTTCACTGTAACCTCCACCTCCCAGGCTCAAGCAATCTTCTTGCCTCCGCCCCTCCAAGTAGCTGGGACTACAGCTGCATGCCATCACACCCACATAATTTTTTTGTTTTTTGTAGAGACAAGGTTTCGCCATGTTACCCAGGCTGGTCTCAAACTCCTGAGCTTAAACAATCGGTCCACACCGACCTCCCAAAGAGCTAGGATTAAAGGCATAAGCCACCACGCCAGGTCTGTTTGCTTACTCTTTATTCTTTATTCTGTTTGTTTCGTGTTGGTCTCTTTTAGGATAAAGGCTTTCCTTAAATGACTCATGATCTCTGGTGTTCATTTTTATTCCTGAACATTTATTTTGACCTATAAAAGTCCCAATTTCATTGATTTTTATCAGAATATTACCGGGAAAAGATTACTATAAAATTTAGCACTTAGAACCTTGTGTTCACAAGAAGTAAAAACAAAAAATTTCAATTTATATATACATTATATTTTCAATGTAGCAAAGTACGATTAGTGGTCAACAAAATATATTAGCATACAATTCTGTAGGGGAGATAGAATAGATATATAAATTTGAGAATTAGAAGAAACAATGTAAAATTCCCAATTTTGGGGATACTTTGCTATGAACTTTTCATATAAAATACTTGAATACCAAATTACTATGGTAATTAGCATCCTTTTGCTATATTTTAAAGTGTTGGAATAACTTTATTTTAAATGTCAGTGTATAATATACACTGAAAATAGCATTCTCTACAACTACTTAAATTTAGTAGTAAGAGGAAAAGAAATTAAAAATCAACTTAAAAATATCTGAGGGTACCCACAGCTTTTCAAAATCTTTTGATAGTAAAGGAAAACTCTTAAAATCACGGAGCTGGAATATACGACCTTTCTCCTCAGTTTTTTTCTGGAGCTTTCTGTAATTTTGTTTAATTCCAGATGTATTCTGAAGTAATTTTTGGAAAATAGTTTCCCTTAATTCCTAGATAACTTCATTCATTCAGCAAATAACTACTGAGCTCCTCCCACTGGGCAGACACTGCCCTTGGTGCTGTGGATATGGCAGTAGACATAACAGACAAAACCCCTACCCTCATGGAGCTTATCATCTAGTGACTTCTTTGATGTTTTGACTGAGTGTACCCATCTTTTGTTGTTTCTGGTTTTTGTTTTTGAGACAGGGTCCTGCTCTGTCGCCCAGGTTGGAGTGCAGTGGCACACTCACGGCTCACTGCAACCTCTGCCTCCCAGGCTCAAGTGACCCTCCCACCTTAGCCTCCCTAGTAGCTGGGACCACAGCCATGTGCCACCATGCTTGGCTAATTTTTTTTTATTTTTTGTAAAGACAGGGTTCTGCCATGTTGCCTAGGCTAGTCTTGAAACCTGGGCTCAAGAGATCCTCCTGCCTTGACCTTCCAAAGCATTATGATTACACGCACAGGCCACCACACTCAGACCGTTACTTGTTAATTATCTGCTTAATTTTGAAGAAATTTTAAAAGAAAATTCATCCCAAAATGAAAAAAGCAAAATCTGACCCATGTTCTGCATCTAAAAATTCTTCTATACTGAAGAGATACTGGTAAGGCAGAAGATTTGTGTGACCCAAAGTAAAAGGAAAATGCAAGTCAGTTGTCTGAAATCAACAGCCATCTATCTGTAATTGAGTACTATCTTTTTATGTAAGTATAATGCCACTGAATTATTTGTTTTTCCCAGTGGCAGTAATGCTTATTCTGATTCATCCACTCACTACGGTCTGATCTATCTTTGGACCTAAAACAGGTATCTTCCATTACCATTACTGTCTAAAGCAAGGGAAACAATTTAAGGATGTGAAATATGATAAAGCACTGCCTAAGTAAAGTAGGATTCAGTTTAGGCCCTTGGCCCAAACTAAGTATTTGTTTCATAGTAATGCACCATGGCACTTATTAGAAGCTCTGGCTCATAGAAGAGCCTTGCTGACTGGTGTGCATATATTGAGGGTGACCTAAGTGATTTGTAAAGGGACTCCAAGTGTCAATATCTGGAAGTCTCCTCTTTGTGTTGGTCAGTTTCCCTAGGGAAAAATCTCTCATCTCCTGCCTGGAGAGTATAAGCCTGGACGCCATATCTAGGAAGAGGGATAGGAGTCTTACCCTTCAGCATGTCAACTTTCTCCTAATCCCTGTTTTTGGCAATAACATGTCTTACCCCTACTTTTAGACATACCTCATGAACCTGAGACCAGAGCCCATCTGGTTCAATCTGTCCAGAGAGTAAACTTCCAGCCTTTGCGGAGGTAGAAGAGATAGCCACTTGGCTATGCAGACCTAGAAAATGGATCTAGAGGGTCTGACTGCTCCTTTTAAGAACTTTACCACTCATGCTTGTAATCCCAGCATTTTGGGAGGCTGAGGTGGGTGGATCACGAGGTCAGGAGTTTGAAGACCAGCCTGTCAAATAGGGTGAAAACCTGTTTCTACTAAAAAGTATAAAAATTAGCCAGGCATGGTGGTACACACCTGCAGTCCCAGCTACTCAGGTGGCTGAGGCAGGAGAATTGCTCAAACACGAGAGGTAGAGGTTACAGTGAGCTGAGATCGTGCCATTGCACTCCAGCCTGGGCAACAGAGTGAGACTCTGTATTAAAAAAAAAAAAAAAAAAAAAAGAACTTTACCAATCCTCCTCATTTCAGCCTACCTCACAGATACTTTCAGAGGTACCTTCAGGGGCACCTAGGACCTCCCACTTCCTGGCCCTTTCCAGAGTTCTCTGGTGTGAGGCAGCTTGTTTCTTGATGACTAAGCTCTGCAGCCTTGCGTTTCTGCTCTCTGAGGTATGCTAAGTCAGTTCTCACTCATTCATTGGCTTTTCAGCTTTTAAAACTTTGTTAGTATGTCCTGTCTCCCATCATCTCCTCTCTTATTCTCTTTGTTCTTACAGGTTTATGCCTCTTATTCCTTTATTGTCATTTTAGTGGAATTTAGAGATGGAGCAAAGATAAATACATGTGTTCAACATATCATGTTTAACAAAAAGTTGTAAAATGACTTCCTTAGTCATTTCATAAACATATAAGTGCTTGATAGTGTACCACTGAGGACAAAGCAATAAATGAAGACACAGTGTCTAATTTCTGCAGTTCACATACAGTCAAGGAAGAATCACAGACAAATGCACAAATAACTCCACAGGTGCTGAGACAGAAAGAAGTTCAGGAAGAAACAGGGGTTACAACAGGCAGACAGACTAACTAAAGCTATGTGGACAGACAGAATAAGAGCAGGTTTCCTGGAGAAAACAGCTACTGGCCTAACACCAATTTTTCTAAAGAAAAATTAAGACTGTTGAGTCTGGTGTAACAGCTTACCGGCGCTGGATCTGCCTTGCAAAATTGTTGCTGGAAGCTGAGCAGGGAAACTGGACTTCACTGTGCAGGGTAGCATTACGAAAAAGGTCACAGAAGTTCTCAAAGAGCTCCAAAAGCTCGTCTGACGTATTCTCAAACACAGCAATCACCTCTGTCGTCACCATATTGTACACCACAAAGAAAGATGCCTGCAAAAGAAGGAAGAGAGAGCTATGAGACAGCTGAGTATAATGGCATGCCTAGGAAACTTATCACTTGGCTAAAATTCAAGGCATGAATTTTCCAAAACAAAACAAAAACAACAACAACAAAAACGAGCAAACGCCTCAGCTTTACCACCAAGGTGGAAACATGGCTCTAAGTGGTTCTGAGAAAAGCGGAAGCAACAGTGGGATTTATCAATTGAGAGCCTCAATGTTGCCAGGTTTCCCACTGTATCTGTGCTGCTAGAATCACTGAGATGGCCAGCACGTAAGTATAAAAAGGTTTTAAATTTTCATTTCAAACTGTGCAAATTCAGTATTTTTCTTTCCAAGTGTTTATCCCCTACTTTTTCCCCAACCCACCCTGAGATAAAAAACACTTTTTAAAATGCCAGATTTAATTTTCTTTCCTGCTGAGCAAGTGATTTGCAGCCTGGGGCTGCCTGTTGGCAAATTATTTTCTCTTGTATGTGTACAGTTGAAAGTTCAATTTAAGGGCACTTATTTCCCCTCTTAATATTTCTAACATACAGAGAGGCACCTTAAGTACATCGTGTTCTAAACTGCTCAGGCAAGTTGTATGCAGGCAGGGTACTGCTGAACAAATGAAAAACCAGATAGGCATTTTCCACTTTTTTCTTCATAAATGTTCTTTCGGCCAAGAGCATTTGTAAAATACATTTGAGAGTTGTAGCAATTAAGATCAGAGGGGGAACTTGAAAGCATTCAAATGCATAGGTGGCAGAGTTACTGCTTTTTCTAACCGGGCCCCTCGGTGGCTAGCCATCTTCCTTTAAACCGCCCGTGCTCTGCTCTGCCTAACAAGGAAGCTCCAAGAACCCCTAATTTTTGTTACAGTGAAGGTAGAAGTGTTAATTAACTACAAGCTTCTAACAGGACTCTAGAAATTCTCAGACCGCTAGGATTAGTACTTCAGCCTCCTATGATTGAGTTTAAATCTCTATTACCAATTTCTGGAGCCATTCGACCCACCTGTTTTACTAGTAAGTAATCCTTCTCAGAGCTTATATTACATGGCCTTTGCAGTCACCTGCAAATTAAATTTGGGTGTAAATTAAAGAGGCTAGCGGGTAACCTGAGAATAATACTCATAATATTACCGAGGGCCTGTGTTTGGATGTACTTTTTACTTATTAATCTTACCGGAACCTGTCAAACTGGGAGAGGAGTGCACAGGACAACTAGGGCAGAAAGATTAGGTTTAGAGTTACAAACTCTATTAGCAAAACATAGAGCCCTAGTTATGTCTCTAGCTACAACTTATTGTCGTTACCAGAAAAAACTAGGTCACCTTTTAGCAAAGAAGAAAAGGATAATCTCAAAGGCAGCAGTCACAGACAACTTATTCCTTCCAAAATAAAAAGGTAATTATAGCTCAAATCTAAATAAAAGATTGATTCATGTCCGTTCTATAGCCCTGGACAATACTTTGATCCTATCAGGGCTTCACCAGAATCTCTCATAATTATATGGATACAGAATTACACAAACATTTATTAGCCTTTCCTCCAAGGCAGACTGGGAAATAAAGAACAACAGGGTAGAAAAGTCAAGGACTTCACTGCAATATCCCATGATACATAAGATGAACCAGATGCTCACCCGTGATTGCTTAATGGGTGACGTCATCACTGACAGGGAAGAAGAAAAACCCCACAAAAAATGATCTCTAACCATATTACTCCCCTACTTTTTTTTTTAGAACACATAAACTACGATTCAGAAGGAAAATGTTAGAAGATATTTTACCACAGGTAGCTGGTGTGAGGTTAACGGTAGAATCAGCTACAGGTCAATAAGAAATATCAAACTCAGCTGACTTTGTGGCTTACTATCTGCTGATTGTTCTGAATTTCCAAACTAGTGTCTAAGGAGACAATCTGCGAACAGGAGAAGTAGCGGACAAAGGTGTAGAAAGGTAGTTCTCTAACCCTTGGTCAACACTGAAGTAGAGAGCTTTTCAAAGACAAATGCCCAAATTATCCCAAATTTCAACATAGTGTTTCAACTCCTAAATCTTAGCAGTTTTGTGCTCTTTATGTCACCTTATTACTTTTCGGGAAATGCTTCTTCCCTCTACTGAAAGAAAGGCATTCCTCCCCGAAACTGAAAAACCTTTAAAACTTGCTGTCCTGATGATTCTCTTCATGAACCGTAAATTTCAGCTTCCTTATGGTCTCAGACCTGCTCTACAACCTATGTCCCAGCATGAGGGCAAGGTCAGGGTAAAGTCACAAAACTGCACCTATTAGTTACCTTATAAATAGGACCTTACGGAGAAGTAAATAGACATTAACCACTTAAGGAGGAAAGTAGGGTTACTTAGAGAATTTTCTTTTTGTATGGTGTACTCATTCTCATTGCCAGAACTAAAACCGCCATACCAATAAGCACAATCTTACAAAATCAAGGCAGGTTATCCATAAGTAGTCCGAACCTTGACCTTATACCATTTGGGCTTCCATCTTATGAGTACTGAAAATGCTCTGCAGAAGAGTTAGGGCAGTGATCAGTTGACTATCCTCCTGTCAATGACTTGAACTTTAGCTTCCATTTGTCCAGATAAATACATATGACCAGAGAAAAATGGAGCTGATTTTAAGCTTGAGCCCTAGGATGTCGATTCAGACTATGTGAAATGTATATTTCTTTCTTTCTTTTTTTCTTTTTTTTTTTTGAGACAGAATCTTGCTCTGTCGCCCAGGCTGGGGTGCAGTGGCGCGATCTCGGCTCACTGCAACCTCTGCCTCCTGGATTCAAGCGATTCTCCTGCCTCAGCCTCCCAAGTAGCTGGGATTACAGGTATGTACTACTGCGCATGGCTAATTTTTCTATTTTTAGTGGAGACAGGGTTTCACCATGTTGGACAGGCTGGTCTCAAACTCCTGACCTTGTGATCCGCCCACCACAACCTCCAAAGTGCTGTGACTACAGGCATGAGCCACCATGCCCTGCCATGAAATGTCTATTTCTGTGGGGTGGGCTATAAGCAAACAGAGAAACCTTCCCATTTTACCAAGGAAACTGGACAAGTAAAAGGCAGGAGTGCACCTCATACCTGTGATGGGTCTGTGACTCGCAGTGTTACCACATCCTCGCTAGTGTACTTGATAAACAGATGGTTTTCATCCAGAAGCTGCATTTTCCACATGCGCAGCTGCCGCAGTTGGTCAAAATACTGGAAGAAGCGCCTCTTGGCCATTGCGCTACCATCCTGTTCTGCCCGGCGCCACAAATACACCAGCAACCGGTGTTTGAGGGAGTTGATGAAAGGGTCCCTAAAGGGATTGGCCATGCCTGTCTGACTGTCCCGCTGTACCTCAGGGAAAACAGCTGACACAGTGAGCAGGTCATCCTCATAGCAAAAGCGACCAATGGTCCGCACATCAATGAAAGTGCCTTCAGGAGTCACCTGGAAGACATGGATTGTCTGTTGTTGCACGGACAAGATGGCCAGGATATTTTTGTACAAGTATAGCCCTTGGTTGTGTGACAAGACCACCTTGTCACACTTGAATGTGCGTGTATCACATAAGCGGCCAGTGTGAAGGTCAATGATGTGCAGGGAATAATCTTCTAGAGGGGACCGTGGGTTGGGAGTCACTGACTCACTGTTCCGATATACCTCAAAAAATGGAGGGTGAGGCTCATCTGGGAGGTAAGCAGCTGAGCCCACGATGACACACCGGCAGTCATCAGTGAAGAGACTACACTCCCGGTTCAGGTGCTCACCATTGGCCGCAACATTGGTAATGTGTAGCAGGACAAAAAAGCGTTCAAAGAGCCGGCCCCGGATATTGACTGACCGCTGGTCATTGCCATTGGACAGGATTTCTCCTTCGTATCCCTGCAGTAGGTCCTCTGCTGCCTGGCAGCCCTGGTACTCATAGATTTCAAGAGATGTCTGGTCTGAAGAAAAAGCAATAAAGTAGCGTCCATCAGGTGAGAATTTACGCAAGAAACAAGGAGGCTTTTCAACGCTGACAACTGTGAAGTTGGGGAAGACATTCTGATGGAACACTCGCACTTGGTGCCAGTGGGTGCCTGCCTTGCCTGAACTGATCCGCCGCCGTTCCAAGCGGTGAATGACATTTTGGTTTTGGATTCTTCGAGGCTTGATGGTGGAAACATGATGATCCATTATCACATCTCTACATGGAAAAGTAAAGTAGAAGTCAAGAAAATGAAACAAAATTTACCAAAACATAAATATATACAAGTCAAACAGATTTCCCTTCTTATATCCTGAAACTAGGAGCTCCCAAGATAACAGTGACTGGCATTACTGCTTCGCAGATTACAGTGAGTAAGTGGTGCTAACATTTCTAAGCCTAGAAACAGATTTAAGGGAAGGATCTAGTGTTCACTAGGATAACTTCCAAGTATGCTCAGCTGTTGGGAATGTTCAACAGCAAAAACCTACAACTGCAAATTTAAACAGTATGAGATGCATTCTGCCAGGCACAGTGGCTCACGCCTGTAATCCCAGCACTCTGGGAGGCGGAGGCAAGTGGGTCGCTTGAGCTCAGTAGTTCAAGGCCAGCCTGCACAACATGGCAAAAGCCTGTCTCTACAAAAAAAAAAAAAATGCCATGCATGGTGGCACATGCCTGTAGTTCCAGCTGCTTGAGAGGCTGAGGTGGAAGGATTGCTTAAGCTCAGGACATCAAAGCTGCAGTAGGCCATGATCACAACACTGCACTCCAGCCTGGGCAAGAGTGAGACTCCATCTCAAACAACAACAACAACAAGTAATATTCACTGTGCATTAATTCCAACAAAAAAATATTGATTGGGTTGTTACAATGTCCATATTACCTGAAATAATCTACAGATTCAATACAAACCCTATCAAAATCCTAATAGCACTTTTTACAAAGATAAAAAATTCATCCTAAAATTCATATGGTATCTCAAGGGCCTCCAAATACTCAAAATAATTTTGAAAAAGAACAAAGACTCAAGCTTCCTGATTTCAAAATATGTTACAAAACCACAGTAATCAAAAAATTGTGGTACCGGCATAAAGACAAACACAGACCAGTGAAATAAACAGCCCACAAATAAACTCTGGCATATATGGTTAAACAATCTTTGATAAGGTACTAACACTACTCAAGAGAAAAAGGACAGTCACTTCAACAAATGGCGTTGGGAAAACTGAATAGCAACATGCAAAGCAGAAGAATGAAATTGGACCCTATCTTTCACCCTATACAAAATTAACCCAAAATAGATTAAGGACCTAAATATAAGACCCATAACTATAAAACTACTAGAAGAAAATATAAGGAAAGTTTCATGACATCAGACTTGGCAGTGATTTCTTGGATAAGACACAAAAGGCATAGGCAACCAAGACAAAAAGCGACAAATGAGAAAATATCAAACTTAAAACTTTTGTGATTAAAGGACACAATCAATAGAGTGAAAAGGCTTTCTACAGAATGGAAGACAATATCTGCCAATCATATACTGGATAAAGGGTTAATATCTAGAACATACAAACAACTCCTATAACTCAACAACAAAAAATCATATATCCAATTTTAAAATGGTCAAAGTACTTGAATAGACATTCCTCCTATGCAAATGGCCAAGAAGCATATGAAAAGATAAGATGTTCAACATCACTAATCATCAGAGAAATGTAAATCAGAACTACAATGGGATATCACCTCACACCCATTAGAATGACTACTTTTTTTAAAAAAAGAAAATAACAAGTATCATGGATGGAGAGAAAGTGAACCCTTGTGTATTGTTGGTG